GTAACTGTAATTCAATGAATTATTTCGCAAAATATCTAAAATATGATCGTAACCACTTAGAAATATTTGATTATTCAATCAGTTGATTTCAAATGATTGGAAAAGGTCAAATGTTTCAGTGGATGTAACCATTCATTATTGATTTCATTCAAAATATTTTATGATACACTGCGATTTTCTCAATTGACTGCATCACAAAATGGCCCATGAGCATTGCATTTGAGTATATTCCAGTGAATGAACTTTTACAGCCCTTAGTTCTCATGCATTTATTTCATCAGCCCTTCTATTAAAGGAAGGTGGAAGTGAAGCAATACTCACTCGGTCTCCTTATCGAGAATACCGTTCTCCACATGAACGATATGATTGATGCTGTGCACATTCTTAACTTTATCGGAATCCTTCCTTTTGAAGTGTAGCTCATATTGCGTCGCAGGTACAGAAACGCCCTGAACAAACGAAACATGTTGAGGAGTGCGCGTTAGAAAATTCACAACGCAGAAACATCACAAAACAACTGAAGGTTCCGTAGAAACTCGAGTCAAACAACTTTCGCTACTTCTGTATAGTTCGAGTTGATTTAAGCGTTCTTCGTCCGCCTATTACACATAATTAAATTCAATCATTTCAGAAGAGCGTGATCATTTCGTACCGGACATGAATTCGGTAAAGGTGGTTCATTGATCATTACGACAGCTCCACTCTTGCCTTCGTTCTGAACCGTAAACTTGACATCAGGTGGTTCGGAAAGTGCGAAGCATGACCGATCTGAAAGAGGTGAGGTAACTTCCGAGGAACAGTCATTCTACACCCAATTTTGTTATTGAAAAGGAGAACAGAGATATGAACATCGCATGATCATCTGCTACGATTGCAGATAAAATCAATGTAGATAAAAGCGAACAGACGCAGATCAGATGAGCAAACCTGGATATGGCTGTGATGATTGGCTAACAGCAAGTACTTGCTTGAACGGTGATCCAGGAACGGGAATTGGTGTCGCAGTTGACGTGCTCAATTCATAAACGATGAGTTCCGCTGAGGTTACAAAAACGAACAGCTTATCTGCGATCGCAAATGAAGATACCGACTTCAGTCCATTTTCTAGAACGAGCACCTTTATTGCTCAAAGAGTCACACTTATAATTAAAAGGCATTAAAAGACACAGTATGCGATTTCGATCATGAATAGATTCATTGAAAAATCATATTTTGAGTGGTCTGAAGACGAATGAATTCGGAGAAATTCTGACTGTACTTAAAAGCACATGCACATTTAGGTGATTGCCTGTGATATGCTATGTTATTCCATAAATTGAGGTGAGTTATCACTCATACATAGGGCGGAGAAATCATTGCAATGCTTCGATGTTGCACTCACCTCCAAATTTAGTCCAATCGAAAGCGATCTCTGCGCATTTCATGGTAGTAACGTCAACACGAAGCATGCCATTCCATGTAAGCACGTATATTGCTGGCGAGGCAGCACGATTCCACGCAAATTCACTCATCATTGACGAAACGGTTTCGGATTTGAGACACTCCAAACTGAAGGTTGGTTGGGTTTATCGGAAAATTCCATGATTTGGAAAAGAGAAAATGGTGATGGAAACGAGACAAACGAATATATCGAAAACGATCCTTACCGGAGTGCTAAATTCTGCTCAGTTCTTTTCGTCATATCAAGTGAAAATAACGAGCCATTTTTTGTGAGAAGATACGCCGTGCTGAAAACTCGTAGAATAATGCCGTAAAACTTCAGATATTCGACGTCTCTATTGCTTTTTAATTATAATTGATAACAGATTAGAATTGTCGATAAAGTGAATTCGTTTGAGAACGAGCAATCGAGCAAATGCTCTTTACTGAAGTACTTCGATCTAGTCAAAATGCGACTCACTTTGTAAACGGATCATACAGAAGTTGTTTTGCATCACCAGCTCCTGGTGACAGATCCATTATTCGCTTTGGCGTCACAGACGAAACACCCTGAACATTTGAGCAACTCGTTAGGAAAAAACGAACACATTTGTGGTGTTCAATTTTAGAAGCAAACAAGCCTAATGGTTGGATGACAGACGTCATATATATGGCATGCGCTGACCTGAATACCATCGAGACCAATTTGCATCAAATGACCAAACGAGACAAAGAGCAAACGATTTGCTACCCAGTCAGAAATGACCGCATCAACACTGTTTACCTCACCACCGATTGGAACCTGAAAGGCACTGAGAGAGGAATGGCCATTTCTATTTGGACACTCAACAAGATATCCTCTCAATCTATTTAATTTCGTGGACGATCGCTGTGTCGAGGTAAAATTTTGGATTTGTTTGAGAATGATACACATGACTTTTTGCCATAATTATTCTAAAAGCAATAATCTAGCAACTCTGATGAATACATTACGAGCACAAACACAATTTGAATATTTCACGTGGAATGTCGATTATGGCCACACTCAAATTAGTGATGACAACGTTAATTGGTACGTTATAAATACCATGTGGAATGTATGGATGAAATAGCACTACCTTATCCTGATGAGCTGGATGTTTCGAATTGAAGCAAACGAACTGACCTTGTGTAAGACATTCTCAATATTAATCATGTCCAAGTGTAGAAGATAAGGTTGTGGTGAATCGCTGTCACGTCTTATCGAATACAGTTCATTGCCAATGAATGCAATTGCTTGCTGAGTTATCTGAAAATTAGGTTCAGTCAAGAGTGCTATTGGAATTGACATCTATTATGAATGGACAGATTCGATAATTAAACTGCAGAGATGATTCATAGATTCTTATGTATCGGATGAGAATAATATTGTAATTGCATGTATTTTGTTGAAATTCCACGAATAGCATCAAAGGCATCCTAGTCGTCGATGATTTCTGATGAGAGATTCTTTAATGACAATGAAATGTGCTGCTTTCGAGGTGTACTAATGATGACAGTATATTAAGTGAGTAATTACGGCAAAAAAGCGATACGAAATGATAACAAACTGTAGAGGGAGGTGTGTTTTGTCGCTTCGAGCGTGTCGTAGTCGTCGAAGACCAATTCGAAACCGAAATTACATCCGAGGACGAATTAAT